GTTCCATGGACAAGTTGTCAGCAGCTAAACCAGCGCCCCCACCTGGGCTAGCCTGGGTAAGGAGGGTGTGTGGACACCCAGCAGATCTAAAGACAAGGTCTGTCAAAGGGCGGATGAGCTCCCTGCGAGCCAACGATCATCCATACCTGGACAGAAGATGGGTGCCACCAGGTTACTTTGCAAATGATGCAAAGCAACTCAACGAACCTTGGAGTAGAGGAGGGTTGTTACCACATTTAAGGTGTTCCACCAGTTGCAGCAACCTCGGGACTGACTTGACTTGATATACCTATACAGTGGTTTTGTGAGGCTACTAAAACGTGGAGAATATGAGTTTTTCATACAGTTAAGTGATCCCTCAGCACGAGCAGTAATGATAGGGAAGAATTGCTCCAGCACTACAGACAGCTCCTGGCTTTGAGATTTTGTATGAGCTGTATCCCCAGATACTAGAGGAAAGTACCTATACTCTAGTCAGCCACTAAGGCAAAAGGATTAGCATTCGCAGGAGGGAGTAACTGTCCTACATAAACTCCTCTACATACAGCACAAGATCACATATATCGTTCACCAGGAACTTGATCACTTGTTGCCATGCCTATGGTTGATTAATTTCATCAATCACATGAATATCATTTAAGATTGCATTTCATGATGCTCTGTTGCCTCCTTGTGCTCGAGTCCTTTTGCCTAGCATATGAGGAGGGGACTCTCAGGATGGATGTATTTCTAGTTATGAGGTTGTGGAGCTGAATATTGCTGCCTCTCCTGATGGAGTAGGATTTACCTTTGCTTTTTGGATTACTAGAAGGAGCACTGGGCATGTCTACACAAGACTCTTAATGCACAGAAAACTAATTCTACTAAGCATTAGCACAGCGGACAAAGCCTGTGCTAATGTGCTAATGCTCAGAAGCATCACAAAAAAAACCGTTCATTTTCACTAATGCCCAGTAGTGCTGATTACAGCATATTAAGTTAGTACCTGTCATTACAGGCTCTAAACTTATTGTGTCATATATTATGGCACATTAATGAACATGTAGACATGCCCACTGCTAACATTATTAACATCATGCTAGTCCTGCTAACCGGCTCTGAAGCATGTATATCCCATTGCTGCCCAGATCATACAACTTTCTCCATACTTCATAGTAAACTGTGAATTAATGACTTAGAGCCATCTGAAATCTTGAGGTAAGCAGATTGAACTCCACTAGAGTTCTAGCTGCTGATACCGACACAGCATTTGGGCTCCAGCAGATTTTTCAGGATTCCACAGTATTTTGCAATACATATGTTTTTTTAAATTTAATGTATAACATAATATACTTGGAATTGGCTTAGAAAGCTGGGGTTTTATGAGACAATGTACTTGATCCTTAATGGTGGGCCAGTTGAAATATGCTCAGTCCTAAGAACATCTTACACACCTGTTGTCCCCTTTTAAAAATCTTTTCTTTATTTCTTGCAGTTTGACAAATATAGAAATTACTTTTTCAGATTAGGAAGGAAAACATTTAAATTTATGGATAAAAAGCCCCTTCTAAAGCAAAAGAGCACAAGGGAGAGGAGAACATTTTTGTGTTCAACTTTATTTATACCCATCCACAACATGCATGTGATGAGGATTGATGGCTGAACTGGGAAACACTTGTATTTATTTATTTTTCTACTGCACGGCTAATTCCTCAGTGAGGAAACCGATGCCATTTTCAGCAGAGAGATCAAGGGAGTTGCTGTTTGTATTAAAATACTTTGTGCTTCAATAGTGTGGGCAGCCCTACAGTTCAGCAGTGAGATCAAGGCAACTGCCATTTAAATTACAATAAATAGTACTAGTGCAGTGCATTATATGAGCAAAAAGAGCAATGCGGTTACCTGGATGTAACTGGGAATTGCCAGGGTCTCTTTCCATACAACTGCTAGGCATTAATCACTATTGCTGTTGTTACTTTTATTACCAAAGTAGGCCCTGATCCTGCAAAGAATTGCTGAATTAGATTGTACAGTTTTTGAGACACAGGCTCTTTCTCTTATGTGTTTGTATAGCACAGCATGGCCTAGGCACAACCACCATACAGATAAATAAATAAATAAATGCATCATTTGAAAACAGCAGCACTGAAACTACCAGCTGGGTTTTTGGTTGTAGCCATGCTGATCTAAGGACACAGGCAGGCCAGGTTCTTTGAGTAGACATGATATCTTTTATTAGACCAACTAAGTAGTTGGAAAAAAGTTATTTGCAAGCTTTTGGGCACAATCATCCTTCTTCAGGCATAGGGAGCCTCTGCTGTTCTGAGATCTCCAAGGAATGAAAGAAGCTAAAAGTGTGACAGGATGTCAGCAGAAATGTAAATAGGTGGAATTAGGAAAACAAAAGGAAGAGAAAGGGGGGGGAGAAGCTAAAGGTAAGTAAGGGAGACTCTACTGTAGTAGTTTTCCAAGGCAGAAAAGAGGCAGTCTGTGAAAAAGTAAATAGCTGGAAATTAGGAAAACAAAGGGTAAATAGGAAAGGTTAGCAATGTTCAATGCTTTTTACCATTTTGAATATTGATCATGGTGTCCAGAAAGGAAATGCTGGTGTTATCCCCATGAATCGCACACCATTAGTTATGACATACCACCCTTCCCTGGAACCTACATGGAAAATCCTCAAACAATTGCAACCCATACTAGAAGAAAACCCAATTCTTAAAGAGATCTTTCCAGAACCACCCATCCTAGCCTTTAAACAAGCATCGAACCTCACCAGCCTCAACACCAGAAGCAAACTCCCTATGACCCAAACCACACCTAATGGATCCAGACCATGTCATGACAAGAAAGTAAAACCTGCCAACATATCCCCATCACTCCCACAATAACTATACCCCGTAACAGAACCATCACCATTCCTGGATCTTACATCCGCACCTCCAGAAATTTTATATATCTCAACCATTGCACCAAATACCCTCATGGAAAATATGTAGGAGAAACTGTACCAGAATGAACGCACACTGAAAACCTATCAAAGACAAGAATACCCAATTTCCTGTAGGGACACATTTCTCACAAGAGAACCACTCCCTCTCTGATCTCTCAGGTCTAATCCTCAAGGGGAACTTACAAAACACCTTTCGTAGATGACCGTTCAAACTTCTCTTCATACATCTACTGGATACAAAAAATCATGGACTCAATATAGACATTGGATTTATGACACACTACAATCTGCCTAACATCTGATTCACCAGGTACCTGCCAGACCTGACCTTTTACACTCTCCCCCCACACCCTGTTCCTCCCCTCCCCTCCTTTTCTACCCGTTGTCTTCCTAATTTCCAGCTATTTACTTTTTCACAGACCTTTCCTACCTTGGAGAACTACTATACCAGAGTCTCTCTTACTTACATTTGGCTTTTTCCCCCCTCGTTCCCTCTCCCCTCTTCCCTTCTCTACCTTTTGTTTTCCTAATTTCCACTGATTTACATTCTCCCTGACATCCTGTCACACTTTTAGCTTCTTTCATTCCTTGGAGATCTCAGAACAGCAAAGACTCCCTGTGCCTGAAGAAGGGTGATTTAAACACCTGAAAGCTTGCAAAGATGTTTAAATCACCTTGCAAAGAACTTTTTTCCAACTATTTAGTTGGCCTAATAAAAGATATCACATCTACCCCAAGAACCTGAATTGAAACTGCCAGTCACTCATTACACGTGGAATGTTTACATTAAGGCGCTGCTCATTTAAGCTGCTGCTGAGCAATAAAATAAAATCCCCTCTCTCCCTCCTGGCTGAACCCCCACCTCCAACAGAGATTTGGAAGAAGTAACTCCCACATGATACCAAGCAGCACTCCTGGCAGGCTGCCATTTGTCTGTTGTATTCAAGAAGCCTACTCCTCATTCTCAGTCTCTCTCTCTCCGTCTCGTAACCAGTCCCAACTGTTAACATATGGAAGTGAAGTAGTCTCCAGGAAAAAAGACCTATAATATAATGTTCCTGTTGAAAGATTTCATCCTATGTTGGTGCTTCCCCATATGGGCATGCAGCACGTTTTTACTTGCCACTGCTGTATCTTGTTGTACAGTGGGTCTATACAGCTTATTTTTGTCTGCACACAGAATCAATGGAACAAACTCCAGCTTCCAAGTCTTATGGCACCATCATAAATATTACTGAAAAAAATATTTCTCTAGTACATCCCTTAGCCTTTAATGCTGTTGTGTAGGGATAGAATTGTCCCTCTCTATGGCTCTGGTGCAACTGCACCCAGCATCTTATGTTTGGTTCTGGGAATGTCACTACCAGAAAAATAGTGGCAAAATGGAGGGAAAAAGTGTAAAAATGACCTAAAATCTGGAATAATGGACTTTTATAGGCAGAGAAAATGAATAAAATGGATCTAGTGTGGTGATACAAAACATAATAAAACTTTATATATGAAAGGTCTAAACCAGGAGTAGGAAGAAGAATGGCCAGGGGTAGAATCAAGGGTGCAAAGATTGTTAATAGCATGAAATGAAGGGAAAAAATCAGTTAAAACTTACTTTAAGGCTGTGGAGTAGCTTCCCAATGGAAGAAGTAGAAGTCCTGCTGCTTGGAACATTCAAACCTCAAGTTTCCAAAACACTAACACACAATCAAGAGTAGTTCCTACACTGGCATGCAAAAAAGACTGGATGACTTAACTTTTCCATATGGAACATCTATTATTCTGTGCAGTGGGATTTGTATTTGAAAGATGATGCCCAGCAGTACACAAAGCTAAATGGGGATGGAAATGTATGCATGATAAATGCTTTCATTCACATTTTTTCAGATATTATGCTCTGCTGCACAGGTTTGGAATCATATATTTTTAAACATGTTCATCCCAGGTAACTGGGTAAAACGTCAATGTTAAACTATATTACAATGAATCTCTCAGAGGCCATGTTAACATCTCACTATACATTTCATATTAAAAAGTCACATGTACAGAAAAATTGCTAATGTTCCACAACTCTCACCTGCAGTTCCAGAGAGTTCCACACTTAAGGTTTGTTCAATAGTCTTGTTCTCAAATGGGGAACCCTTGGGATCACTGGAAGACAGGGCACATTTATAAAAACAAGCTGAAATGGAGTTGCTGAAGCCAAAATGTATTGAAACCCCGTCCCTTGCATAAACTTTTACGCTTCTTAATACTTACTTTGGTGACTCAGGTGTCAAAGGAAGTGATAAACTTGTTGGTTTGGCTGAAGAGAGAAAAAAGAAACCAATTATGGAATACCTGAAGACTCAGAAAATTTTATTAACATTTTTTGTTTCTATCAGTGCTGGAATTCTACCTGAGCTCAGTAAGGATAAACTCCAGTAGTTTGGGAAAGTACTTCAATATATCTTGTGGATAAATAACAGTAATATTCATCCTGAGCCCTTATTACTGGCATACAACACTTCTTTACATTAATTACTATACCTCTGAAACATGATATAAAGCCTCAACACTAGGATACTTTAAAAAATGAAACACTTTATGTTAAAAATCAGTGAGGAAATAAACAGAATATTCTGTGGAAGTGTTATTTCTCTTACATTTAATTTAGACTACAGTTCACGTTTTATTTGGAAATGAGAGCAGCAGAATAAGTACAAAGCAACAGAACGTTATGAATATTCAGTTGATTTTACTTCTACAATATACAATTTTATATACAGCACTGAGAATAGGTCGTTTTTGTGAGGCCAAAACTCTACCAGCTATAATCTAATTTTTTTGCAAATTACTCTGCAAACTCTGACAAGCTGCAGACATAATCACAGATGGTTAAAATTGGGGTTTAGCTCCCAGTGCTAAAGTCCTGATGTAAATGAACAAAAAGATGCATACAATGTTATTTGTCAATACACCTCTTCTGTAGTTTTCATTTGTTCAAATTATCCTTTTCCACAGCAAACCAATATCTAAAATATTTTTCAGTCTCCCTTAAATTGTGAATAAAAATGTTTAAAAACTAAACACACTGTCATTTGAAAAGTTTAATTTTCAGAGGTGGTGTTGCTATTTAACCGTAGAACATGTGCATCAAGAACGACTATAGGGTATTTGGTCTACAAATTAATTATTTAAAGCAAACCTTTCCTTTCCAACACTCCTGCACTGTAGATCTTTTATCCAGAATGTCACTATAGTACATTTTGTATTCATTCCAGGCAGGGCACTCCCATTGACATAAAAAAATTGTATATGCAAATTGATTATATTTTTTAAGCTCTAGAGAATTTCCAAACAATTATTTATTTATTTATTTTAAATTAAACTAATCCTCAGGAGTCTGGCATTGTTTTTTTCTTGTTATGAAAGAAGATACTTTCATGCACCTTCTTCAGAAGTCACAGTCAAAGAAAGGTCGTATGTCTGATCCAGGCTAGCTGTCGCTATGTACAAACTAAAAGGCGTCTATAAGATGAATAGACTTTACTACACATATATGTTCATTAGACAAAAAATTGTGCCTACTAATACTTGCCCAGTTACAAATATCTAACTGTACCTGTAAAGTGGCCATGGGATGCCAAGATTATTTTCAGCTTTAATGGCAATGAGTAGAAACTACATGTCAGAGAAGGGCTGCCACTGAATTTAACATAGTAAAAACTACATGGAGCTTATACTCAACATATTTTCTTCTTTGGAAAAAAGCCCTTGAGTTCCATTTGGCTTTTTGAAATCTGAGGTGGAAAAGTACAGTGCCACGTATATCTGTGACAGAGATGGGAACAGAACTCAAAATAATTCTTGGGCCCCCTCCAGACGATATAGTTCTTGCAGGTTAAAAGTGAGCACCCCACAATTTTTTTTGTAACATGCCAGTCATTCAGGCAAGTTATTCCACAATAAAAATGGCAAACCAGTAACAAAGATGTCCCACATCTATGGAACATCTTTGGGCCTAGTTTCTATCATGGTTTGATCTGAATATTTGGTGCATTAAAACCCCACTGTGCAGCCCAATAGCTCATCTGCACCTAGGGATGCACCAAGCTGCTACTGGCACATATGCTGCCAGCAGCACATCACTCATCCTCCGCTGTACATGGCACCAGGTAGCCAACGCACATGCAGCCAGCTGCACATGGGCTGTAGCTCTAGGACCTCCCTGACCCACAGGATGCGTGCATGCCATTTTACAGTGCACAACGTGAGCAGCTGTGATTGGGGATCTTCCTGACCCACAGCCACCTGTCCTGTGTCCCTTCAAATTGTTCCTGATCCCCAGTCCACCCACACATGGGTGATTCCAAGCAGCAGCCTGTGGAGGATTGGAATCTGACAAGTTTTATCATAAATCCAAAAAATTGTGTATTCTGCTGTGCATGTATGGCATGGCAGGACCTGAGAGTTTTGAGATCTGTAATAAAGTTTGTCAGTTCCCAATTGTAGAACAAAATTAATGACTGGCTGGGGCCTCGGTTCCATTCTTTGACATTAATCAGATAGTTTCATAGTTGGTAGGGTCAGAAGGGACCTGAGCAGATCATCAAGTCTGACCCCCTGCCCTGGGCAGGAAAGAATGCTGGGGTCAAATGACCTCGCTAGGTGATTATCTAACCTCCTTTTGAAGACCCCCAGGGTAGAAGCGAGCACCACTTCCCTTGGAAGTTGGTTCCAGATCCTAGCTGCCCCGACTGTGAAGTAGTGCCTCCTGATGTCTAGCCTGAAACTACACTCAATCAACTTGAGGCCATAATTCTTAGTTACTCCAGGTAGTGCTCCGGGGAACAGGGCCTCTCCCATTCCCCGCTGGTCCCCCCTGGTAACTTTACAGACGGCCACCAGATCCCCTCTCAGCCTTATCTTGTGGAGGCTGAACAGGTTCAGGTCCTGTAGCCTCTCCTCGTAGGGTCTGCCCTGCTGCCCCCGATCATGCGAGTGGCCCTCCTCTGGACCCTCTCGATGCTGTCCACATTCCTCCTGAAGTGCGGCGCCCAGAACTGGACGCAGTACTCCAACTGCAGCCTGACCAAGTTAGGACCTGGTTTAAATCACAATTTTGCATTTTCCTCCAGGCAGGAGAATTGGGGTGATGGGGGTTGGGCGCTGGGGGAGAGAACACATGTGGGAGGGTGCCACAATCTGGACGTGAAAATGGTGCTCATCGCCATGATCAGGCTACAATAATAGCGAGCTGGGCCTATGATTTAAATCAGGCCCTACAGATAGTGCTGATCCTCACACTGCCTTGTAATCATTTAGCAATTTATGTACCTTTATGACAATCAGTAATGTTTTGTACTGAATTTTACTATTGCAATTGTATTTTTAGTATCTATTAAGCTTCACATGCATTTATTATTCTTCGTAAGTTGAAAATATTCAAGATAAAAAAGATCAAGCTTCCTCATGTCCAAATCTCATTGCAAATCTACAGATGACCTGAGCTCACTGTATCTGTGGACATTCCTATAAGTTCACAATATGTTTGGGACACAAACCCTAATGGAAAATCCCATTTGACTTATCCTCTATGGCTTTTCCAAGGAAGCACAAATGGAACTTGAAAGGAAGTTGCAGGCTCAAGTCTACAGTAGAAGCAAAACATTTTTGACAAGCCTTGATTAAAAATTTGAGAAAAATACCCCATCTGGGTGCATTTGTTTTTCAAGCTGAAAGCTCCATGCTGCTCTTGTCCTTACATTAAATATGGTCCTTTATTTTAAAGATAAAGGAAAAGATTTTTGGCAATAGGTGCCTTAAATTAGATCCTTAGGTGCACACATAGGGCTCCTAAATAAAGATTAAGAGACTAATTTTGTTCCCTCTGGAAAATACAGGTTTAAGAGCCTAATTCTGCTCACCGACAGCAGTGGAAACACATTTGTATAATACAGCAAAATTCAGCTAAAAATTAGATTGCAGGTGGCTGGAGATTAAATTGCAGAAATTCAAGAAAAAGAATCTGGAAAAGGGAATTAAAAGTTTACAACTTCATAGCAATAAAGGTAAAGTGACAGGCATCACAAAAAGTCCAGTAAACCCCCATAAGCTACAGGAGCCATCAAAGACCTACCTCTCTGGTCAGCTTTTAGGGTCAGTACAGATTATCACACCTCCTGCACTGAATTCCTTCTGCACAGCTGCAGAAGCAAGAGCCATATTATCCCTGTACCATCCAGTGCAGTTTTGCACGGAAGCAGCTTGCTAAAACCAGCCAGAAGGAGTGGCAGTTGGCATTAAGGAAGCTCTAGGGGCAGTTAGATTTCTTTCCTACAATAAAAATAGTTATGTGAATTTGAAATCTTAATGTGGAAAACCACACTTAGGAGATCAGAATCTGGGAGCTGGGAGAAGGGAATTTAGGGAGGGAGGGAGGAATGTATTTTTTAAATATACCTCAAAATGGTCCCAAAATGAGGTTGGGGGAGTCAATTTAAAACTGTCATTTAAAAATATTTCTGTTCCTGCTGCAACACATCAGGGCAGCAAACTTTGGGTCAAATTCTGATTTCACTTACAGCTGAGTAAATTCCATTTATTTCAATGATAATCTTCTGGATGTATATGAATGTAACTGAAAGCAGAATCTGGCTACCTTGGAAGCAGTGGCAGAACATAAGGAAGCATATTTTAAAGTAACAGTAACTTTAAATAAGCTCCCTTTGGGCCCATAAGTTTATAGAGCTTTTCTGTATCTGAGGGAGGAGGAGGAATAGGAAGAAAAGCAAGGAAAATGCCTGCCAGGAGAGGGCCTTTAAGTTCTTACATCTATGCCACAGAAGCCACTTACAATACAGCCCAACTCTTTATACACTGGAGGATACTAAAAGTCAACACAGATGTTTAGTTTTGACCATAAAGAAATTTACAGAGAGAGCAGGGAGAAGTGGGGTAGGGGTCAGGATGGCTTCCAAACCTTCAACTATTTACAAAATAAAAAAACAAACTGATGTTCTAGCTATAATAAGAATGTCACATTTACTGCCTACTCAGTAGCAGCAAGATCACTATTTATTGTCTCTTAAGGAATACATGGCAAGTTAACAATGCCTTCATTTTTACTTTGGTAAAAAAAAGCAGCTCGCTAATGAACTGGCTTGCCCAGCCTGTTCAGGGGTATCATTATTTCTTAGTGATACAGTGCTCTATATGTAAGCCTGATGGCTCAGTATCTGTTAATTTTTGAATGTTGGCTAAAATTTTAGGTTTCTTTTCTAGGATTTGTAGGAACTTTTTAAAATTGTCCATAGACTAAAAAAGCAATGTTTAACTAACCTAACTGTACTGTCTTTTACTTCTCTCTATATCAAGGAACTTCTGAATTTACAGCACAGAGACACTAAGGG